TTTTTTTTTTTTTTTTTTTTTTTTTTTTTTTTTTTTTTTTTTTTTTTTTTTTTTTTTTTTTTTTTTTTTTTTTTTTTTTTTTTTTTTTTTTTTTTTTTTTTTTTTTTTTTTTTTTTTTTTTTTTTTTTTTTTATTTTTGCATTGCATTTTATTGCAGGGCATGTTTTACCATGTTTAGGTGCACCATAACAAAGCTAACTAATGCTGACCAAAGATACTACTAACTTCTCTAGTCAGCATTCAGATTCAAACCTGAAAGTGTCCTTGTTTGTGGTCCCTAGTTATGGGGATTCAAATCCTGGCACCCTCAAGTGAAAAAAACCCACCACTTCCTAAGTGGGCAGTGTTCCATGGTGGTGTCCTAGGAGAACAGTCTCTCTGTGTCCATCAGTGAGAAATAATAAATATATGATTAATTGCTACAGTTCTTGAAGTGTGGCAAACATGTTTTTATTTGTTATCTTAAAAATCTTATAGCAACAGGAATTTTAAACTCTATATACCTGATGGAAAATGTGCATAAAATAATAATTGCCAGTGTAACCACAAGTAGGCACTTTATGTGAGGCAAACCTGGAAAACTTACATGGATTTCTCACTACGTAACTACCAAAACATAGCTCTTCTGTGGCTGTATTTGCAACAGCCACATCAAAAATGTGCTCAAGAGCCACCAGATTTAGGAATAGGAGACAGCTCAAGTAAACAACATCTGATGATACCGTTCTACACACTGTAAAATTTAAAGAGTGAATTTATACTGCTTCACATCTATTTTAAAATCTAGAAAACTTAAGGCAAAAGTAGGCAGCACATTAAAAGAAACTGATGTGATGTACTTACAACACAAAAAAGAAACACAGGTTCACAGTTATTTCTAAATGGTTTCAGAGTTTCAATGCTGTCAGCCTCTGCCTGAAATTAGACAAAAAAGATTATTTGCTTTCAAAAGTGTATATGCTTATGTATATGTATATATACATATAGATAGATAGATGTAAACCTTTTTTTCCTGTAAAAAACCCCACGTTCCTACATACTTAAGTGTTACAAACTCAAACTGCAGTCCTAAGTACAAGTAACAGTCCTTATGGTGATGAAGAAAGAACTGTTTTGGCAACATGGGATTGTCCTCCCAATGTATTACAGCAATCAAACATGAAATAGTATCTTCTCTTGATAGTATTTTCTCCTATAGGTTATAATAACATGTATAAAAGAAGTATATATATACTACTAGTGTAAACAGGTATTTTTACTACTACAGTAGTAAAATTTTTAATTTTCCCCTTTTTTGTTCTCTTAAAAATGAAATGCAAGGGAATATTTAACATAAAAAATGCAGTTTTTCAGAAACGCACAAATTTTAAATGTGATAGTCCATAATGTAGAGACTTAAAACTAAAAATCATATAGACTGGCTTTTGAATATTTCTGCAATCTCATCAAAGAAATCTCATCAAGAAAAACAAAAGTTTTGGGATATCAGCCCCATTTTTATTATAGATTCTTACATATTTATTCCAATTTTTAATCTACTTCTAAACAAAGTCATATGAGAGGATATGCAGAAGAAGAGGCAAGCAGGCCAAAATTATGACAACTCAGCATAAGGACAGTGAAATGAAAGCTCTGTATATGCAGATAAGAAGATATATTCAAAATAAAATGTTAATAAAGTCCCGCACAGAATCTATGTCCTTACCACGGCAAAGTATAGCACATTGTCTTCACTAAAATCATTCTTCAGTTTTCTCAGTACATTCAGCACAGCTTTGCAAGGACCACACCAAGCTTGATACACATCTATTACTGAAATGTAATAGTTTGGAAGTACAAACAGCTGACTTACAAAATGAACTTACAAAATGAGACACATTTATGTTGGGGTTGGAACAGAACTGGGAAGGCATTCTCATGTATCTTTCAGTCCTCTTCTAGCCCATGTGAATAATCGTGAATTATTATTCAATCATAAATAAGTCAATGTATTCAGTGGATACATTAGGGTTTCCTCTTATTTCAATCAGTTTTGACATGGAAAAACTTATTTTTGAGACTATTTGAGATTATTAATTTGAACTTCTTTTCTCTCATATTCCTTTTCCTTTTACTTGCTCTTTTTATTTTCTCACTCTTGCTTTTCAGTCTTACCTAGTCTTTTTTCTACAAGAGTTTTACCTCCCTGACCTGTGCAGATCATTTCTTTCCAATTATTAACCCTCTGTAGATATGATCCCATTACATATTTGTTCCTTCTACCCAAAGGCAATTCCTAGGAGATCTAGAAGATATTGTTTTTGGACTAACTTAACTGAAAACTGGAAACGATACACATAAGAGAACATGCACTCTCAAGAATGCTGCGGTATAAATTTAGTCTGTGCAAAACTTTAGGGGAAAACTTCCACGGAAGTGTCCAGCCCCCTACCATAGACAATATCATATTGGAAATGATTCTTTGATATACATTTATAAATATGTATTCATATAGCCTTTCTTTAAAAGATAATATGGCACTAGCCATCTAGGTTTGTTATGATTATCTATTAAAGATTATATAGAAGTATGAAAAACCGTACATATTTCCATGAGACATTAAACAGAAAATAGCAACTATTAGTACCTACTATACCATTTGTCTGCAGCATTTCATCCCACTGGTCTTGACTGGTTATTATGATCTGAAATAAAATCAACCGACATTTTAGCATCTTAAAATAGAGAAAAAACATCTCTTCCTCTCTCAAATAGTTCAAGTACTTAAGATTTATACCTGGAGTGGGACTTCTTTCTTCTTGCTTGCCATTTCCCTGTGATTATAGGAAACATATTAAAATACAAAGCACATTTAACAGTTTTTTACAAATCTGTGTGACATGCAGAACTGATTTATATGGTTTTCAGAACACCACTGCCTTCTGATTCCCTTAAAATTAACTCAGCTGAAGCACCTACAACAATGGCAGTTAATACCCCATGTGGGAATTCTGTGGAGCAATATACAACTAGTTTGGAAAGCCCATACAGTACAGAAAACAGAACAAAATTTACTTTCTTAATTTCCTAGGGTGTTCAAAACTTTTGGCCTCAACAATTTTCAAGTTTATAATTCTTTAGAATAGCTACAGGGACCTTGATGGGATGACAGCTACTGTAACACTGGACCATTTCAGAAAAGTATTGATTAAAGAACTTCCACTCTAATAACATCAAATCGACCTTCCTGTCTGCTGGGATACATAAAAAACAATGACATACTTGTGCCCCATAACTAATCTCCCAAAATAAATTCTGATACATTCATTATTTTGTCATTAATAAATAATGTCCTTTTTTTAAAAAAAAAAATATAATTAACTGTAAACTGGGCAGAACAATGATTTCAGTTAAGAGACATATATGGATTAAGTTTGACTTCAGTTTCCAAATGAATCCTGACTGACCAGTAAATGTTATCACTGCATCAGGAGCCTGAGTTTCCAAAGTTTTTGGTTAAGATGGAGGTCTTCGTCTTGGGTATAATGAAAGTGCCACCATGAGTGTGACCTCTGCTGGCATTGTTATCTGACAAGTCAACAAGCAAATATGTCCAGAGTTTGAACTATCCCAATATTCCCACCAAAGTTGCTCCCTTCGGATCACAGACTGAGGCATAGTGGTCAGTGTGAGAGCTCTTATCTAAACCCTAATCTAAAAATATTGTGAAGAAATAAAATTTTAAATGCAGGCTTTCTTCAAATCTCTTAAACCAGGTAGTGAGACAGAACGTGGCATTAATTTCTGTCTTTTAAAGACACTGAGGAGATGATACTACTATTGAATCTAGACAAAGCTGACAGATGAAAACATGGCATATTAGTAGGAAATCTTCAGCAAAAGAGCATGTCTTTCATTGTTACCTTCTATCACTGAGCAATGACAAAGTGTTGCAAGGTCAGATCTGCAAAACATAACCCACACATATGATAAGGGTCACACATCCCAATGGTCTTACACATGCTCCCCAACTAAAAATATGCAGTCATACAGGCTCAGAGGGCAAACAGAAGCACTGCAGAACAGACGCTGCTGTATGCAAATACAGAGATATACATGTTAATCTGGAATAGTGGCTGTGTGAGATGGACATGTGAAGCTACACATGACATCTACACTTTTAAATATAATTTTCACGTAACGTTCTCTCAGTAACGCAGTCAGTATTATACTGATAAAACCTGAACAGGCCAACATGTTTTCTCCATTATCTATGATATGGACAAGATGCTTCTCTAGCCTTGATACAAGGCATTTTGCTATCATGGATGTGCAAATGCTACACCTCTTACTACACGTTTTACAACCAAAACTGCTTCCTTGAACTACTCAGATATAAAAGTAGACCTGGGTGCACACCCAGATACTGTGTCAAACTGACGTTCAAATATGCAAGTCTTCGATGACCGACATTCTATATCTTAGCACAAACCCTCACTGACATATATACATTGAAGATGTGTGTATGAAGATACTCAAGAGCTTGTGACATTCTAACGTGCACCTGTGCGTAGGTACATGCACACAGACGTATAGTTCCCTGTGCATAAGTTCTTGTGTATGACAGTGGATCCTAGATAGCAGTCTGATAAACCATATGCTTGCTACCCTTGAATTCTATGAAACTGGGTTAAATACAAAAAAATATGGACGGAAAACATTCACTGAGGTACCCTGCAGCTTGCGTACACATGCATGCCTGTATGCTCTCACAAGTGCATGCAAGGACTCATCCTTCTGCAGGCACCCAAATGTGCCAGCACACATCTCCACTATGCAGGTGGACACTCCTCTGTGCAGGCCCTCTCCATGAGCTGGCCTGGGTGAACCCTCACTCATGCAGGTGTAACACCCCTTCCTGCTTGCACACACACATAGAGAAATGTATACAAGTGAGAAAATGCACAAACACACACACACACACACACACACACACACACCCCCAGTTCAGGGGCGACAATGGTCTATTCAGGATGCTGTAACCAGGAAAAGCAACCAGATGCTCGTGCACCCAGTGGTTTGGCACACACTCTCCATGACAAGCACACCATCTCACAGCGGCTTGGGTGCAACCCGCCCCTGGTGTGGGTGCCCACCCAGGAGCAGACAGGCAGCCTCAGCCTTCTGCCCACCGTGTCCCTGTCCTGGAGCAGCCACTCACCTGGGGACGCTCCCACAGCTGCCCAACTGTCACCCCCCAACGGCTCCAACAGCCTCCCCTGTCCTTCACCCTGCCCCAAAGCACCTCCTCTCTGCTCAATCTGCAATTTTTCCCCCATCACCTTATCTTGTCACTCTGTAGCTGACGTGGCACAAGGAGCTGAGCTGCAGGCAAGCAGAGAGGGAAATGAGGAGGGAGAAGATGGGGAGTTGCAGGGGTCTGAGGAAGCGTCACCATTTCCTGCGCTGTTTCTCCCCTGTTTCTTTTACTCTAGGCAGAGTTCAAAGCTGCCCTTTTAAAGTAAGAAAATTAGTCTTGGCACCTAATTAGCAATCTAGCTTCACTCTGTGTTACTTGCAAATTATAAGATAATGAGGACTAAAAGGAGAAATTGTTTTGTGGATGTCATGATGACCAAAGGAGGGTCTTGAAAGCCAAACAATGGTGACTGCTAATGCTCACACACTATCACTGCAGGTCTGTGACCACACCAGTTCAGAACAGAGTTATCATTTTTCAGATGCATGCTTGCATCTCAGCAGGCCCAAAAATTAACAGAAAATAAAGGTGAAGTTCATTTATACACACAGAAAGCACAACTGGTGCAGAGTACAGTGTGGCTGTTTTTATGTATAAACAACTCTTAAAGGCATTGCAGCTGTGAGGATTCCTTTGTGGAGGTATAGGTTTGAGAATTTTCACAAGTCAAATGTAAGTGTCTCTAAACTGCAGACATTGCACATATGTGTATTGTTCCTGAGTAGAAATCATCCGTGCATCCAATTTACTTTTGAATCCCTGCCCAGGTATACTATGTGCTGGTACATGTATCTACAACATCTTAAGAAAATCTAGTTTCAGTGACTTTCTTGTTACTTTTCTTAAGCTTTCTGGCACTGCTCACCAAAGTTACCTTTATTTCCTGAAACTAGCACAAAGAAAAAGGTAGAGTAAAAGCTTTTAGAGGTACTGGAATAGACGTTCTTCCTCACAGTTAAATTTTCCTAAGTTAAAGGATGTTCATTCTGCTGCAGTGGAATAAGGCAACATTTTCACAGAGGTACAGCAGTTTTCAGTTCTATGCTATACCCTAACAGCTTGGATTAAATCAATTAGGTGGCAAGACAGACTTTGCATTCAGGTTGGAAATAACACATTTATATATAGCCAATGCTAAATGACTTCCTACATTTTTTACTGGAAAACCCTAGCTTTGGACTTAGTACAAACTCTGCATCGGCCTGCTTATAAGAGGGGGAATGCCCTTGAATAGCTTTTATTTTCCTACATGAGGCAGGAAAACAACTTTTGAGACTTTCATAGATATACAAAATAAAGCAGATCTACAAAAGATGAAATATTTAACCCAACTGCCATGTAGAAGTTGAAGTCCCAAAGTGCAGGCTATGTTTTTAGTTTTTTCTTTGCAAATTGCTAACTTCTTTATCCAGACCACTTTTTTCATGAGCAACCACTTTTTTATATATTAGGAAAAAAAAAAAAACCTCCTGAAAAGAAACACTAGAATGAAGTAATGCTCATGTACCAAATGTTAAAAGGCTGATGGAACCCGTTTTTTAACTGCTCTGATAGAATGAATTATATGTACACTTTGGATATCACAAAATGGTTAATGTAAAGGGATTTGGTATTTTAAAATAAAAAAAAAAAAAATGGTCGGTACATTCCCCTAATTTGCCCCAAAGACAACATGAATGGTAACCCTAAAAGGGTTAAAAATCCTAAAGGAAGTTACTAACACATAAACTTTTGCACAATTTGTACCATAAGAGAGTTTCATGTTAGCATGGAACATATTGAACATGTACAGATGCAAAAGAACTTCTAATGTAGTGATTTAGAAGTCCTTATAAATATGGACATTAATCCTTCCAAATTAAATGGCTGTCACCTCTGGGACTTGGTTTCCTACAGCAAGAAAAATCAGGGACGTACTCTGAGTACATCCTCTCTAGCTATGATATATGCTCACCCATGAACACAACAGATTAGTGAGATTTGAGTGTCTTCCCACAGCTCAGTTAGTCCTCATGAAAAAAACTGGTTTCTCTGATTTGGATCATACCTAGACCATCTGAAAACAGACTCGTAGTCTGCTCCCTGGCAGTATCAAATACACTGATTAACCAGATTCATGTACAGTTTGCTATTAGTAGTGTGTACTGGCTAGACCTCCACTTAAAGAGAAATGGAAAAGATGGGATCTGGAAAGCGTAGGAAAGTGAAGAAAAATTGACTTGAAACACATTCCTGTATATTGAAGAGCAAAACCCATGATATCAGGTAACAAAGATGGATGGAAGTTCACATAAGTATTTTTAATCAAAGTTGACTGGTATAGATACAGCGGCAGTTTCTATTTTATCAGATCTAAAGACCTCCAGAGCTCCATTTAAGAACCTCGAGAATAGTTAACACAGCTGGATTGAACTCAGACCTCTCGGGATCTTCAACTTGTAAAACTTTGTTGCATACTCTTGTTTTAACTGGGACAACTTCATCTGCGGAGACAATCTGAACAGATATATGTGAAAAGCTTAAGTATATGCACGGTAGTAAATCCCAGCAAGACAAAAACAACAGAGGATCAAATAATTTCATCACCTCGTTACACTGAGATGAGCACCAAAACATGCTTGAGGTAAGGATTCGGGTTTTAGAGAATACCAGACCTGAAAATATGATGGGAAATTACCTGAAGTGTGATGTAGTCTAAGCAAAATAGGCTGTTATATTCCAGTCATGGAACAAGCTAATATCTCCACAGCTGTACTGGGTAGAAAATTTTGTGGTGTATGAAGTATTTTTCCTTGCTAAGATTGGAGCAGAAATTAACACAGTAAGTAATGGCCAGTCTTCGCGAACAAAGAACCGGGGAATTTTTTTACACCTTCCAGCCTGCGCATTGGATTTTTTAGGTGAGAAAGAGCCACTAAAAACTTTGCCAGAGACTAACTGAGGAATGTTTTTATGGATATAATGAACAAAATAATCAAGCAGTTGGAGCACAGTTTGGTTGCTGTTTGTTTTGGTTTTGTATTTAAATTCCCTACTAATTGGCACTGTGATCATTTAATAGAAAAAGTACCATAATAGGTAGTTTATAAACAGAAAGAGCACATAAGGCAGAGGCAGTTGAAGAGATGAAACTGAGAAGGTTACATCTAAACAAAATTTTGTTAACTCCTTCTGAGTCTAAAGAATATGCCACAGGAGTTGAAAGTTTTTCAAGCTGTATCCATTCAAGCTTCTGTAGGAAAAAATTACACTGGTTTCCCTTTATTGACTCTTTCACATTCTGATCCAATCCATGCAAGTGAAAAAGACTACATATTTTTAAACAATTTGTTCTATATATTATTAGGGACAGAAAACAAGTCTTGGTAAAATGCCTTCAGTCATCACACCATTTAGCCAACTGTAGATTTCAAAAATACACCCCAGTCCTTAGAAGACTGCTGGTTAGAAAATGGTGAATACTGGTGTGACATTAAGAAGCATTTTAAATGTTGGATCCCATTTCAGATGTCCGTTTAACATTCAAGGGTTTATGCTGGTTCAACTTGTTTAGTGAATGCCAAGTCCTTCTGCATGTAGCAGTGCTGCACAAGCAAGCAGTATTCAAGCTTTCACCTGGCATAGGCCACTTTATTTGCCAAGGACTTTGAGGGATAAATGCCATGTGCCTCCCCAGTATATGACAGAAGCATGAGACAAACCACAAGTGTTCATTTCTGTCATATACTCCTGAGGATGGGAAAAGGAAACCAGGGAGTTGGTCATGTAGTGAGTGTTCATATGTCAAACAGGGTGGTCACTGGGACAGAGAGTAATAGCCATTTGTAAGCAGAAACAGGAAGTTTTTATGTGGCTAGAGATGTATTTTTATCTATAGATGAAGGATCCTGCTGGCAGAGGATGATACAGAGCAAGTCTGTGGCTGTATGACTCATTCTATTTGTGAGCTGCAGCTTGGGTTTCTCCTGGGGCTTCCAGTATATTGTATGCTAGAGGATCAAAAATCACCTCTAAGTCATCTCAAAAACAGATTTTCCTCTGCTGCCGTGGTTTCCTTCCTGCGTCCCTGCTGTACCCAGTGCACGTATACACTTGATGTGCATAGATGTTCCTGATTGCAAGGATGGCTGCTGCACACAACCCAAGTGCCAAACACCCTTCCAGTCCTACAGGTTCACCACAGAGTGAGAGAAAGATGCAGATACAGCTCTATACTTTGAGAAGGACTGTGTGTATAAGATCTGCTAAGGGGGAGGAGCAAACCTAATAATTTTTAAAAAACGCAAGCAGGATGGCTGCAAGATTTTGATGGTTTGTTGCAGTGATTTACTTGAGTACTGTGGTGAACTAGCCCTAGCCTAAGTGCACCACATGGCCTCATTGACTTTTGTGTCATTAGGACTTGTGAGGCCAGTGGGGTTGAAATATCTATCCAGGTGTTGGAAGTCCCAGATTCTCAATCATCATTTTGCTAGATAGGTGGCAGCGGTCCACAAGAATGTTCACCACACTCTTGCCCAAACTGTGCCTCAGAATTTATCACTTCATGGTTGTGCAGTCAAAGAAGTGACCTGATGCTCCTGTGAATTGCACTGATTAGTCACCACCTTCTCATGCCTCTTCTTTTTTACCTGACTCTACACCCATACACAGTAAACGTAATTTTCTGTGGCATAGACAGCTATACCAGCAGCATCTTTGATCTACTTTCAATTAAATTTGCCAGGAGGTTCTACTACAGTATAATTTAGGAGGACTTAGAAACATCCAATACTGGAGTCTCATACGATGTGGTAATGATGCAAACCCGGTATTACACATTTTAAACAGACAAAATAATTTATTTCATTGGCAAGCAACATATCCTTGGTCAAAAGTTAGTGAATATACATTGTGAAAGCTATAGCATAATATAAATGTAGTGTTCCAAATA